CCCCCCCCCCATTGTATAGCTGGGAAAACTAAGGCACAAAGGAATACAGCAAACTGCCCGAGATCCCACAGTTGGTCAGTGATAGGGACTTAATGAACTATTCCATTAAGAACTTTAAAAAAAATTCTGGTAATAATTGACATATATCACTGTACAATTTAAGGCATATAGGATGATGGTTGATGTACATATATTGTGAAATGCTTACAGTAGGTTCAGCTAACACCCATCTTCTCATATAGATACAAAAGAAAAAGAAAAAAAAAAGAAGTAAAGAAAAAAGATGTTCTCTTTGTGGTGAGAATTCTTAGTATTTATTCTCATAACAAATTTTCCAAATATCATACATCAGTCTTAGCTATAGGTATCATGTTGTACATTATATTCCTAGTACTTATTTATCTTATAAATGGAAGTTTGTAGCTTTTGACCATCTTTCTCAAAGTCTCTCCTGCCCAAACCTGCCCCTTCACAACCATTCATCTGATCTGGTTTTCTATGAGGTATATGATATTTAGATTCCACATGTAAGTGAGATCAGACAGTGTTTGTCTTTCCCTGTCTGACTTGTTTCACTTAGCAAATGCCCTCAAGGTCCATCCATGTAGTCACAAATGGTAAAGTTTCCTTGCTTTCTATGACTGATATTCCAGTGTGTGTGTGTGTGTGCGTGTGTGTGTGTGTGTGTGTGTGTGTGTGTGTGATGTATATTTTTGATTTAGTGTTTTGTTTCCTTTGGATGTATTCCCAGAAGTGAAATTACTGGATCACATGATAGTTTTATTTTGAATTTTTTGAGGATCCTCCATACTGTTTTCCAAACAAGATGTACCAACCCCACCAGCCGTGCACAAGGGTTCCTTTCTACACATTCATGCCAGCATTGGTTATCTCTTATATTTTTCATGATGGCCATTCTAACAGGCCTTATTATGGCTTTAATTTGCATTTCATTAATGAGTAGTGATGTTGAGCATATCTTCATGTACCTGTTGGCCTTTCCTAGATATTTTTTATTTGGAGTAATGTTTATTCAGGTCCTTTGCCCATTTTTTAATGGCTAGGTTCTATGAGTTCTTTGTATATTTTTAATATTAGCCCTTTATTAGATATATGGTTTACAAATATTTTCCCCCATTCCATAGGTTGTCTTTTCACTTTGTTGATGTTCTTTTGCCCTGCAGAAGCTTTTTAGTTTGATGCAATCCTATTTGTTTATTTATTATTTTGTTTCTTGGGCTTTATGTATCATATCCAAAATATCATTACCAAAACCCATGCCAAGAAGCTTTATTCTTATGTTTCTTCTAGGAGTTTCATGGTTTCAGGTCTTACATGTAAGTCTTTAATTCATTTTGACTTAATTTTTGTGAGTAGTATAAGATACGGCTCCAGTTTCATTTTATTACCTGTGGATATTCCAGTTATCCCAGTACCATTTCTTGAAGTGGTTATCTTCAATCTCTTGAGTATTCTTGGCTCCCTTGTCAAATATTAGTTGACCATGTATGCGTGGGTTTATTTCTGAGCTCTCTATTCTGTTCCATTGGTCTATGTGTCTTGTTTTGTGCCAGTACAATGAGGTTTTGATGTCTACAGCTTTGTGGTAAAGCTTCAAATCAGGAAGTGTGATGTCTCCTGCTTTGCTCTTCTTTCTCATGATTTCTTTGGCTATTGGAGGTCCTTTGTGGTTCCATATACATTTTAGGTATGCTTTTTCCTACTTCTGTAAAAACTACCGTTGAAATTTTGATAGGGATTGCATTGAATCTATAGATGGCTTTTGGTAATATTGACATTTTAACAAAATTAATTCTTCCAATTCATGAAAACAGAATACCTTTCCACTTCTTTGTATCTTCTTCGATTTCTTTCATTGTCTTGTAGTTTTCAGAGTAGGGATCTTTCATCTTTTTAGTTAAATTTATTGCCAAGTATTTGATTGGTTTTGATAGTATTGTAAATGGGATTGATTTCTCTCTCTTTCAGAAAATTTCATTGTTAGTGTACAGAAATGCTACAGATTTTTGTATGTTAATTTTGTATCCTGCTAATTAACTAAATTCATTGATTAGATCTAACAGTTTTTTAGTTGAGTCTTTAGGATTTTCTATATATAAAATCATGTCATCTGCAAATAGAGACAATTTTATTTCTTCCTTTCCAATTTTGATACCTTTTATTTCTTTTTCTTGCTTAATTGCTCTAGTTAAGACTTCCAGTACTATGTTGAATGCAAATGGTGAGAATGGACACCTTGTCTTGTTCCTGATTTTATTTTATTTATTTATTTATTTATTTATTTATTTATTTATTTATATTATTTTAAAAAATATTTTTATTGGGAAATTGGGGGGAGGGGAACAGTGTTGGGGAATTGGGAAAGGGACCAGCCAAGTTATTGTTCTTCAATCTTTGTTTTGGAGGGCGCCAGTCACCACCTGGCTTCCTATCGGCAGCTCATGGCCTCTAAGCTCAAGGTGCTGTGTTCAATCTTAGTTGTGGGTGGGCGTAGCCACCATCCCATGTGGATGTGGGAGTCGAACCAGCAGCCTTGTTGTTAAGAGCATAAGCTCTATCCACTGAGCTATCTGGGCGGCAGCTCAGCTCAAGGTGCTGAGTTCAGTCTTAGTTGCGGATGGGCATAGCCCACCATGGAACAGGCAATCTTGTTGTTACACCAGCTGAGCCATCCTGCCACCTGTTGGCAGTTCAGCGACAGCTCAGCTTGGGCGCAGCATCACTGGCCCATGTGGGAATCAAACCGGTGACCCTGTTGCTCAGAACTCACGCTCTTAAGCCAACTCTTAACCAACTGAGCCACTCGGCTGGCCCCTCGTGTTCCTGATTTTAGAGAAAAAGCTTTCAACCTTTCACCACTGAGTTGTCATATATGGCCTTTATTATGTTGAGATATATTCCTTATATGCCTATTCTTTAAGAGTTTTTATCATGTTGAAGCATTTTTTCAAACGCTTCTTCTGCATCTATGAGATGATCATATAATTCTTTTCTTTCATTCTGTTAATATGTTGTATCACATGATTGATTTGCATATGTTGAACTATTCTTGCATCCCAGAAGTAAATCCCACTTGATCATAGTGAATGATCCTATTAATGTGCTCCTGAATTGGTTTTGCCTTCTTTTCTAGTGGCCTTTTCTGGTTTTGCTATCAGGATAATGCTGGCATTATAAAATCAGTTTGGGGGTTTCCTCCTCTTTGATTTTTGGAAGAGTTTCAGAAGGATTGTTGTTAATTTGCTTTACTTGTTTATTTTTTAAGGTTTTTTAAAAAAATTAATTATAGTTTGCATTCAGTATTATTTTATATTAGTTTTAGGTATACAGTGTAGTGGGTAGACATTAATTTGTCTTTAAATGTTTGGTAAAGTTTGCTAGTAATGTTATTTAATCCTGGGGTTTTCTTCATTAGGGGATTTTTAATTACTGATTCAATCTTTTTACTAGTAGTTGATCTGCTCAGTCTTGGTAAGTTTTATGTTTCTAAGAATCCTTCCGTTTATTCTAGGTTGTCCAGTTTGTTGGCATATAGTTGTCTATACCATTAAGGACTTTTTGTTCACTAAGTTACATGTCTGTTTTATCTCAATAATCCAGTGGGTTTTAGTTGCTTTAGGAGTCATGTTTATTTATGGAAATTTGCAAGCCTGAAGTTTCTGAGAGACTGGGTGCATTTAGATCATCTAATCAGGTTATCTTTGGAAAAATAACATGACTCAGTATCACGTGGATCCCTCAAGGGACTGTTTATAGCACATACAGTTTTCTAAGAGAAACTTGGGTTGAATTGATTGAGAATATAATGAATAATTACAGGTAAAGTCTAGTGTTAGGTGTCAACTATTTCCTTTTAGGATTTTTTAAAATTTTATTTTACTCAGAATATATGAAATACCTAGCTCAGTTTTATCGCATTTTATGCCTATTTAATAGCTGATAGTGTTCAAGCTGATTATTATGGTACATGAGACTGTAGTTGATGGTAAAATAGAATATTGATCAATGTCCTAAGGTTCTTAAGCAGAAATCTTATAGAAATATGATGTAAGTAACTGCTGCTCCCAGAATTTCTGCCAGGAATATTCTAATTATGCCTAAATCTCCATCACTGAAATATTTCAGTTAATTCCTGCTTATTTATTAAGATCCAGACCAAGTATTGACTTTTTATAAAGCTCTGATTCCTCCAGAAAGAGTTTTTCTTCCTTCTTACGTCTATAGCATTGCATACAGATATCTTTACACTCTAATACTTCCTAAATAGATGTTTAAGAGAAATCACATAATAGGGACTCTCATTTTCTTCTGTACATTCCCAATGCTTGTGAAATACCTGGTAACTGAATGGTATTGAAGAGCAGTCTTATTCAAATTCAAGAAACAGGGTTTAGTCATCTACCAGATTGTCGTTTTAGTTAAAGCAATGGATACATTTCCACATACAATATGGAAGTTTTACACAATCTTAAAGATTAATTGCTTAAGACACTTAGGAATTAATAGTAACAGTTTTTGTAGGAGTTTGTGACTTACCTTGCTTGACTTGTGGTCCACATTAAAAGTGGCAATTGCATCCTCTGTTTTTTTCCTCCCAGATTTGGTTATTACATACTCAGCAAGTTTGTTTGCTAAATAGGTCTTTCCAGTACCGCTAGGTCCTGAGAGTATAATTCTGTGATGCTCCATCAACAAGTTAAAGTACCTTTGGGTAATTGGTTTAGGAATCAGTGTATCAAAAACAAAACTGTCCAAACTGTTTTCTTCTACCCCTGAAGGAGGAAATAAAAGAAATAGCATGCCTTATTGTTCTACACAATCTAAAATTTAAAATATAGTGTCAACCAATAATAAAGCTTTGGTAGTCGTAGGAATACAGTCCTTACTAAATACTTTCCTTGCTATTTCTATCCCACAAACATGTGCTGCCATTTTAAGATAGAAAACATCAGTAGTGAGGCAGAATGAACAGCCAAACAAAAGCTAACCATTTCCTTTTGTTCAGGCTTCCCTCCACTGTGTACTTCATGTTTCTTACTTTAATTTCCAGAGAGACATGAAAGCATTACTTTAAATTCTAACATAAAGTCTCATTCCCTTTGAATGTGGTAGTTTTATTAAGAATAAACGTAAAGATTAAAAAATAAAATACATGTGTGTGTGCGCGCGTGTGTGTGTGTGTGTGTGTGTGTGTGTGTGTATGTTCTTCCCTTTTTCTTCCTGTTTCTCCTTCTCTTTATTTCTGTCTAGCTCTCATTACACATCCCAGCTATACAACCACTTTAGCTTTTGAAGAATGTAAATTGTGATATTTGGCAAGGAATTAAGAAGAAAGCAACAGTATCTCTTTTTACTTACCCAGCTACCTTAACCATAAAATCAAATATTGACATATTCTTCTATTAATCCATAGTTGATATAGATATGTTCTGATTCTTTAACATGTATGAACAAGGAATTATGGAGAAAAGTATACATTAGCTACTCTATTTGCCTAAAATTAATCACATCATTCAAAGCCAAGAAAAGAGAATTTCTCATTCGTGATTCTTAACTTCCATTCTCTATCCCCAGCTGTATTTATTGGGTGCACATATCTTAAAATCAAAGATATAGTGATGAATATATTACTTTGGAATACACAATACATTTTTTGAATCCTCCCTAAATGAAAGATAATAAAAGAGGAAACCTAGAAATTGAAAATTCCCTAAATCACGTTCCTTCTGTGTGAACCTTAGAGAATTTTCAAAATTACATTCTAAGTTTCACATCCCCCAAACCAAGGAATTTCCTTTACTTGGAGGTTACTGTTTAAGTAGGATTTTTGTGTTTTAAATATAAACAGGGCTCACTTCATATCAAAACTATCAAAGTAGTTAACACTTTTCAAGTATGAAAATTTGAAGGGACACTGCAAAAAAAAAAAAAAAGAAAGAAAGAAAGAAACATTGGTTAAAAAATACAATTGTACCTTTCCTTTCATTTTTTTTTTTTTTACCTTTTAGGTTCACAGTGATGATGTTATTATCTCCAACAAGGTATCCACAAGGCAGCAGTTCAGGCACTTCTAGGCTATGGGATCTAATTAAATCTCCTATGCAGTAGCTAGCAATGCAGTCAGAGCTCAGACCAAGGCTAGTGGAGGTATCAATTCGGAACACATATTCCTAAGATAGTATACACAAAAAAGGGAAAGTCAAAACAGAGGTTCAACTCATCTACAGAAAATACAAAACTCATGGGGAGATGAAGCCAGCTGTCAAGAATTCTAGAAAAGGGTAATATAAGAACTACTAATATTGAACAGCACAAAGAGAGAAAGCTTTCCTTGATATTTGAAATGGAGGAGAGGAAAAGCAGATATATCTGCACTATTAAAGCTAAGGGGCGTATCCAAAATGAAACACATTTGAAAATTAGTATCAGGAGATCTTGCACAACTTACCTTAAAGAGACGTCTAATTACCCCATCTAAGACGTCCCACTTGGTTTTCCCACTAACACCAATGGATCCTATCAAATATGCCTGAGACTTCTGATCCTAAGGAAGAACAAAATAAAACAAGACAAAAATCCAACTGTGTGTCTTATTACTACATTTTCTACTAAAACGTATTAATGTAGTGATAATTAAGACTAAAATATTGAGTATGCCTATGGGTTTTATAGTAACCGTTACACACAGTGGATTATAGAAAGCATACCCCCCCAAAAAAATAACCAACCAAACATATTAAGTAACAATAATAGCAATAAAAAGAAGAAAGGAAGAGATTAGAGGAAATGGGATGGTCAAGGCAACTTGAGTCATGACCTGCTCGGTAGAAGGAAAAGCGCGAGGGAGAATAGCTCTGATGCAGCGTGTGCGTTTCTGAAGAGAAACAGCTTGGTAGGAAGGATGGTGCTACAGAGGGAATAGGCCATGAGTCTTAGAACTTCGTCTTAACTATTTTTATGATCTTAGCTTTGTTAAATCCAAATCTCAGTTGTTTGTTTTTTGTTTTTTTTTAAATTAACAAATTATGTCTAAAATCCAATCCAGCTTTAAAAATATGAGTAAGTTAATCTATGGTAATGTGGCATTCACATGTTTACAAAATAGGTCCCATTTTGAATTTATCAGAAAATTCACTATTTGAAAAAAACTTGCCAGGGGATGTACAGGACTCATTTTAGCAAGCAAAGAATCCCTTTGCAACACAAATAATGGTCCCAAATGTATCTCTTTTGTAGGATGGGATTTTGAGGAATTTCTACATATATTGGAAAAGTAAACAATTCAAGATTTATATTGGAGCCTCTTTTATGACAACTAGAAATGGTTATGTGAAATGGTGATCATGATACCAGTTGGATATAATTAGATAGTTGATATATGACAGTTCTGGTTCTAACCAGTTGGATATAATTAGATAGTTGATATATGACAGTTTTGGTTCTAGTCACCAACTGTATATGTCCTTAGAGGTGGTTGAATAATAACTGAATCAGGTATTAGAAGACATGGATTCTACAAAACACATCTACAACCTAATTAATAATGTGACCTTGGGTAAGACACATTTACCCAAGAGCCTCAGAGCCTCAATTTCTTCATCAGTAACATTTAACTCTATAAGGGTAAATGATTGTCAGCATTTTTCAGATAGCTGATTAGAAGCCAATACCTTTTACAGAAAAAGTGGAGAAATTCACAGCAAAGCCATAGTGATTTTTTTTTCTTTTTACTTGTGTTATAGGCTGAATGTTTGTGTCCCCCAATATTCATATGTTAAAGCCATAATCCCCAATGTGATGGTATTTGGAAATGGAGCCTTTAGGAGGTAATTAGAGTTAGATGAGGCCATTGGTGGGGAGGGGTCTCTCCTGATTGGATTAGTGGCCTTATACATAGAGAAAGAGAGAGAGTACACACACTGAGGAAAGGCCATGTGAGGACATAGCTAGAAGACTACAGTCTGCCACTCAAGGAGAGAGCTCTCACCAGGAACCAAATCAGCTGGTACCTTGATCTTGGACTTGAGAACTGTGAGAAAATAAATTTCTCTGTTGAAGCCACCTAATTTATGGTATTTTGTTATGGCAGCTCATGAAGACTAAGACAACTATTTTCAATGTTCAAAGATGTTGTTAGAACTATTTTGAAAAAGAAAACTTGTTTTCCAATGCCATTGTAACTCAGTCAGAATGGACACTCATACAATGCTTTACAAGCTATAAACAGCTGTGTTAAATTAGAGATAGCTTAAGCTTCATTGAGACTATTAATATATAGTCTTTCACATAAAGGTCCTCTTGGGGAAATCAGGTACAAATCCGTAGATCAAGTAGAAAGCTTATGGCATTGGAATTCTTGAAATATTTGCTCAGTTTAAAAATTCACAAGTGCTATCTCCCTTTTCAAACTTAAGTACTTCAATTATTTTAAAATTCTGAAGTATTTTTGTTTGTTTTTTTTTATGTTTGATAGAAAAAATCTGGATACTTACCAATTTATATTCTTAGTCACTCAACAACTAATTCAGCTTGAAATGTTTTTAGTTTTAAGAAAGGGCTAGAGTCAGAATGACATTGCCAATTTGAAGGCAATATTTGATCCCAGAAAATTTAAAATACTTGCCTTGTCATCTAAGACCTTGCTTAAAAATGACACATATAAGTAGCATCAATAAAATTTTTCATAGTGAGTTCAGTAGAATATGTCCTTCCTGTGTCTAAAATATTTAGGTAGCTTATAGTCTCCGCTTTGTACAAAGACCAAATTGACAGCTCTCGCAACATGTTACTACACATCATAAATGTCACCTGTATTCTACAAGTGACACCCAAAGAATATTTTAGACAAGATGTTTATGTCAAAGAAAGCAATATGTTTTTGTAAGTTCTAGGAATGAGGATGACTGACAACCAATATTGTTTTTAGCGAATGACCAGGATGTTCTGAGACATATTTCTACCTATATGATGATTTCATTTCTTTTGAGTCCCTAACTTGCAAGCTTTTATAACATTTATCAGGACAACTATTCAAATATAAACTACATTTGATTCATGGTTATTCTCAGCCTTTAGTAATAAAAAAGTTAAGATTAAAGGAGTACCTTTGCTTGGCCGTAGCCCTTGCTTATGGAGACTATGATTTTCACGCTGCGTCCATCTTTATGTCCAGTTGCATCACCAGCATCATCCAGCAAAATATCTACCAAATTTTCCAAAAAGCACACAAACACACACACAAGAGTCACATTAGTTAAGATTTGCCCATTGCCATTGTTTTCTCCCTCATAGTTTTATAACTTTCCATGGGAATATTTAGCCTTTCTACTTTCCATTCTAGACTAACTGGTTTTAGAAACCTCAACTTTCAAGGAGATGAATTACTGTGATTGGGTTAAAGCTTCGGTCTAAGAACTTATTTCTGCTACCAAAGACCTTCACCTAAGTGTTGGGCCCCTGCCTTTAGATGAGGAAATAAGGGGTGTTCTTTTCTATTACACACAGGCCTGAGTAACACCTGAGTAATATTCAGTTACCATTATAACCCTGACAAACTGAAAAGCAATCTGATTTTTCTATCCGATCTAAAATATACAAACTCAATACCCATGTATCTATGAATGCAAAGGCGCTGAAATGGACTGTCAGCTGAAATTATTTTCAAACCTTTAGCACATATTCAGCTATATCACTGCTTACCTTATATCTATGATTACTATACTGTTATTGAATTTCAACCATGGTATTATACTTCCCTACAGAAGTAGATTAATTATTACTTTTCTCTACCCTTTATAGTTGCAAAACCAAAATAGTATTTCCAGTAATCATCTAAGAGCTACAGAAGCAAGATAAAGCTAGCTAACCTTTAAAGCACCAGACTTTAAATGTGATTAAAGATTAATTTTCAAAATATATTACATGAGATTAATGTCCAATTTGGAGCATCGTTAAGGCAAACTATCCCACATATATGTTTTCCTTTGATGATGATGTTATTATAGAGGCATATTTAATACAAAGATAGTGTTCTGGAGACAAAGGAAACTCAGTTACGTGCCAAAGAGCACATGTGCCTGGTGATAGGAGGACCCAACTGCTCTGCCTGTAAATTTATAGACAGGGCTGGGACTGTACCATCATAGAAACAACAATTTAATCAAATGGCTTCTGAAATGGAATGGCTTCATTATCTTAATAAATAGGAACATTCAATTTCTCAAAGGAAGGAGTACAACAATGCCTGAAGACCATCATAATAAAAAAGCAACATTTAGAGTTTGAGAAATATGGAGATTTTTGCTAGAAAATTTTAAATCATTAAAGATTATCTCCCTTAGTGGAATTTAATTATTTTACCAGGTTAACATCCTCACAGTGTCTCACTTTTTTGCCTATTCCACACAAAATTAAAACTCTTCCTTAAGTATCATCCTAATTCTCTTGCTCCTTTCCTCAGATGTTTAGAGCGGTTTACTGTCAGGTGTTCACATCTCAAGTCCTTGTAGTTCAAGACCAAATTACTTCATTAGTAGTTTGCTCAATTTTTCATAAATGTTGATGTTCAAAAATATTTATTAAGCATACAAGCTCTCAGAAACTGTTCTGGGGC